TGTGGGGAGAGGAGAGGGGCCCGAGGAGGGGCATGCGTGTCCCTCCTCGTCGTCTCTCTGGGTCTTTTGATGTCCCGTGGTGTTCGTGAGGGTCGGGCCGGCGGCTCTGTGGTGACTTGGCAGAACTGTGCTGTTTGAGCCTCTTGGCGGTTAGCGGGTTTTTTTTGAGCCTCTTGGCGGTTACGGTGCTTGATGCCCCTTATCTCTTTCTTCCTCTGCCCCAGCTGCACTCCGGGAGAGCTCACCAGGGTAAGGGAGCAACCTCGCCTTTAAAATCCTACTTACTTTCATTCTGCCTTTCTTAAGTGACTTCTAGAACCCAAACTCCGGGCCGCACTTTTCCTCCTTTGAAGGGTGTCTTTTAAAGGTGCTTTTTCTGTTTCTATTTAAGGATTTATATCCTTTGCTTGAAGTCTGTCATCTGCCAGTAGGACGGTTCACTTCTGTATCAAACCTTGTGTGTCGCGTGTTTGATTCACAGATACACTTCTGCTCTCTGATCTCTAGAAATGGGTGTGACTCTCCCAGCTCTTGACTACGCAAGAACTTGCTCTGAAGACTGAGACCTCCTTATGAAAAGTCCTTTTTCCACTCTCTGCTGCCTCCTCCTCTGCTAATACATAGGCATGGTATTTTAGTCACGTTTTTACAAAACTGTTATCACTGTCCTTTACTTCTATCCTTACTTTTATCCAAAAGGGCTATCATTGTTCCTGCCAGTTTTCACACCTTTTATTCTTTACTTTCTCTGATGGTACAACCGATGACTTTTAAAATGCATTTAGATTTTTTCATTAGTTAAAACCTGAGCAAAGTCCTTGGCATGTATCTTGATTACTTCTTGGAAAAGAAAAGAATTCTAAGACACCTGAATTACTTCTGAATACTTCTCTGAGAAAAGTATTTATGTTGTTATTAGCAAGATGACTGTTCGCCTTAAGAGCAATTGTACATTTCAAAGGTTGACACTGATAGCACTATTTTGTAATATATAATGCCAATGTCAAGAACTTCTCTGGTATTTTTATAGTATAAAAACATTTTGATTCTTATTTTTCTAATAGTTAAAAATGTGCTTTCTAACTCTAACGTGATTAGAGTTCTGTGATAATAAGCTGCCACTTGTAAAATCAGTACATTTTCTTTCTGTGTTATTGCTTATCTTTTATGGCTTTAGATTATTTCTGGGTTTAGTGATTTTCATTTTACAAACTAAATCTTTACGATTATTTCTGCTTCTAATAAGAAGTGGTAAGGTCCTAGCACTTGTGTAGATATGCTATGTTCCTATGACTTGTAGAAAGAATTAAATGTGGCACCAAAGTGCCTAAGTGTCAAGTAAGTTTTTGTGTGTTCTGAAGAGACTTAATCATCTAAATGTGGTACATTAGTTCTTCTTTTAAAAAGACTGTCACTGGAGACAGGCTGAATTCTGAAAATGGTATGAAAGAGAAAACAAGGTGTACAGTGGGTAAACTGATTTGCATCACTAGTTCTGATTAAATAAATCATCAGTGAAGAAGTACTGATTTAAGCTTCCAGTTGTAGTTTTGCTTTGTGTTTCAGCTGATTTGTTAATCATTATATGTTGTTTCTCAACATTCAGTAAAACTTTGATGCCACATTTAATTCTTTCTACGAGTCATAAGAACATGGCATATCTACACAAGTGCTGGGACCTTACCACTTCTTATTAGAAGCAGAAATAATCCTAAAGATCTAGTAATTTAGATAATTATAAAAGTACCTGACTGGAAGTTCTGTTTGGAGGGAAGAATTAGAATAACCAAACTAAACAAGGACTGCATGTACAAGGTGCTTGCAGAGATTAGAGCAGGTGGTTTAGAGGGCTGAGGGTGTGGAAGTAGGGTGGCAAAAAAATCTGCCTTTCTACTTCATCCCGATCTCAGTATTTGGAATTTAATCATGTTGTCGACAAAAACATGTGTCATCAACATGTGAATGGTGATGGCTGGATGGCAAGCTCCCAGCTTAATCTTGTGGCAATGTTTGTTTATGTGTATTATTTAAGTGGCTTCCTATTGTTTTCACTTCTGTATAATGCTATTTCTTGTTCACTAAAGGAATGTATTTTCTTATTTACTAACTTTTTTCTCCATCCAGAGTACACCACAGCATAAATTACTGAAAATTATTAGTATTCAAAACTAACATTTTTCATATTTTATAAATTTATTAACATTTGAAAACCTGTCTTTTCTGAGCAATAATCTATATTATTCATCATAGTGTCAGGTTTGGTATGTTAAATAGGCAGTAGACTATTATTTTTATTAGGGACATTTTAACCCATATACATACATATATAGTAACATGTGTAGCTGGTGCATTAGCATTTAGAAGATATGTGTACCTAAGTCAGTATTTAAGGATGTATACAGAACGTTATTTTTGCGTTCTTTTTAACAAAATGCTTGCTTTCTTCTTACTGGAATTGGAATCCATTTTCTGTGTTCTCTCTTTGCTACTTTACATTTCTCTTCACTTTGCTTCTTGATTCTGCTTTTGTTTTTGAATGTACTTGCTCTTCTTTTCATTCCTTCATCCTGGCCATTCCTCAGATTTTTACTGTCTTCTGCTGTAACTATACCCAACCAGCCTATTTCACTCTGGGTTGTTCTGCTGAGCACTGTAATGCTGCTCAGATTTCTGTAGGCTACCCTAAAGGCAGACTGTAGCTAATTTAACTTCTGCTGCAGCTTTCAAAGTACAGAAGTAAAGAGGAGCAGTGCAGGATTAGGAAATGTGTGCATTTAAAAGATGGAGTGACAAGACTGTCACTGCACCTCATAGGATAAATAAGAATAAGCATTTCTTTTCTAGTACACGTATTCAAATTTTCTTCATTGATTGTTCATGTCAGTCTTTGGACCTGGGGATTCTAACCCTTCATATTCTGTCATATAGGAATGAAAAGTATTTAATATTTTTAATCTTTTTCTATTCTAGTAAGCAATGTTCTAAGAATGTCATCAGGCATCCACATAAAACCAAAGACTGCAGTACAGAAAACCAAGACATCTTCTCCTTTGCCATGTTCTCCAGAACCTGCAGTTAAACCACAGCCAAAGCCTAGTGACAAGCTGAATCCTAAAACTATTGATCCAGTATGTATAGGTGGTGGATTTTCTGTTTGCTTCTTTAAAACAGATCTCTTGTTGGAAGAAATTTCCTTACTTTATGAAATACATGCAGGATATGCTTTTTCTGGTCCTGTTTTATTAATTTAAACTAAACTTTTGTTATTAATCATACATTCTCTAATTTCTAAGCTCAAATGCCTGAGGCTTAGCATATTTATTACTTTTTTAAAAAGGGGGGGTTGTTACAATTGTGGCTTGGATGGTAACTTTTTTATTTTCTATGTACTTTTGCCCTAAAAAGAGGTTTAGAGCCAAGAGTTAAAAAAGAGTTGGGTTTTTGTAGTATAAATTTTGTTATAAATTTTGGCACCTGCTGCTTTAGAGGAACTGATCTCAGTGATGCAATGAAACCAAGAATCAGGTAGCATCTTGAAGATCATCAAGACCGCAGAAAATTAGCAAATTAATTGCTAGTGAGCATTACTTGGAACTGCCAAGTACTGTGAATATGTAATACTTTGGGAAGAATTTGGGCGCTCAAGATAAGACTAAGGAAAGCAGTTGTTTTCTGCACAGAAACAGAAGTCCTGCACCTGGAGAACTAGCTTTGGGTGAATTATAGCTCACCACAGGGCCACATCAGCCAAACAGTTAGTAATATCACAGACTTTTTGCAAAATGAATTAAATGTGGGAGTACTTTGGTGAGGTACTATTTTGCCATAAACAGAGGCTGAATACTTTCATGTGGGCATTTTTTTCTTGAAACCTTTTTGCAAGTAGTGCACTGACTTAATTAAGTCAAGAAGTCGTCAAATCATGCACACAATTTTAACAATGTTAATGTAGGTTCAAATGCGTGAAAAATAAAAAATAAGACTTCATGGTATTTCCTGCTATATGCTTTATGATAAGGTCATCATTAATATATCTGGGAAGTAGCATGATCATGATAATAAATAATATCATAGCTCATATACGTAAGAAGCATGTATATGATTAAAAAAACAACTTTATGCAGGCTTTCATCCCGTGGAGCTCCTAGTTTCCTTCTCCAGTGAGTCCTTCCTAGATTCTCACCCACTATGAACCTCCCCACTGATTCCCAGTGCCCTCGTACAATCTTGCCCAACATTTGCTGTTTCTCCCACAACTTGCCACCTTGTACTTTTGTCCATACTGAGATGAAGATGGAATTGGAGTAAATCTGCCTTCTGTATGTTATCAATATAACAACAATAAGAGCATCAGGAAAGTGAGAGGTCCTTAGTCTGTTAAGGAGAGAACCCGTAAGACTTCAGTGTGAAGATTTGCAAGAGAAAATAGAAAAATAAGGGTATTCCATTAGGAAAGCATTGATTCTACATTATTTATTCATTTTCACAACTTCCTAACCAGACAATTATGAAAAGCAGTTTTCTAATAAATGTACCAAATATATGTTTTACATCCCATAGCTGCAGTTCTTTTTTTTGATTAGTTTTAGAATCATACGACTACATTACTTTTTTGGTAAACCGCAGTTTTAACATATTCATAATAGTTAGCTAACATTACTGTACTGTTATGAATAAGTAATGCCTTTTTTTTTTTTGTCCTCACAGTTCGGTGCTTATTCTCGACCACCTTCTGCATTTGCTGCTATATATGCTAAAGGTGGCATTCCATGCAGGTGTGTTGGTTTCGTTTATTTTTTTAATAAATATATTATAGTTAGGTAGAATTATACAGATTGAACTACATCTATTCATATTTGATCTTTTAGGTAGGCTGTTTGATTCCATTCATTTCTGAGAAGATTTCTGTATGTCTTTTCAAAGCAGAAAGCAATTTCCTATGTCTTTGAAGTTGTCTTCTTTTGGTTCTTTTTTTATGCTGTGTTAATACTGAAGCTGCATTTTCAAATAATAGTGAGGTATTTGCAGATTTGGTTTGCTAAACCTCTTTCCTGAAAGAAGTTGATTTCTTCAGGTAATGGTGTTTACTTCTCCCTACTAACAAAGGTAATGAAATTCATGCCATTTTAGTAAGCAGGCATCTTGCAGTCTTTTTTTGTCTGAGGTAAGTAGTATGACAACTTTTTCTTGAATATTCCAACTCTGTAGTTTTCAGCAATATCAGATATTAACAAAACTACTTGTAAGTAATAGTTTGTGGTATTTTAAGTTATTTTTGTCTATTATATATTTGCCTAGACAATAAGCATTTTAGTGTTTTGGCAAGTAGATGCAAAATAACTTAAGGAAAATTTAAGTAATCATTAATACATAGCCTTTTCCTGTATCTTAGGACTAAATTATGAATTGCAATATGATTTTCTTTCAGTTTCAACTGATTTCCCTTACCAATTGTTATTTGATGAAAATGTTTCTTGATATTTATCAAAATAAGTAACTTTGCAAAGGGAGCATCTTCTGTGTCGGCATGAGACGCATTTGTAATTATTGCAACTTTTCTTTTCTGATTTCTATGAGATTGGGAGCAGAATTTTGAAAACTACCATGTTTGAGAATTATAATAATCGCACTATAAAATACCATTGTTCATTTCACTAAGGAGAGCAGTATGTATTGAAATTGTGTATATAATATTACAGTAATACTGCAAACCAGTTGGTGATATATTTAATGTGACTAGTGCTAGCAATAAATTATGTATTATTATATGTTAATTTGTTAAAACTTTATTCTTTGTATAGGCTAGTACATGGCTCAGTAAAGCACAGACTGCAATGGGAATGCCTTCCTGAAACTGTTCCCTTTGATCCTCTTCTTGTAACATTGGCAGAGGTAAACTCAATTTTCTTGCAAAGTTAAGGATACAGGATTTTCTAATTGCAAATGGCATTTTGTGACAAGCTAAGCTAGGTAACTTAGACTTACCTGATAGGGAAATATGAGGAAAAAAACTGTGAGGGTCTTGTATGAATGAAGATGGTCAAAAACATTACCATTTGTAGTTCTTCTGGGAGAGCTAGGTACAGCTGTTTAATCTTTGAGGTACTGGGCAAATACAAGACTGCCTCTCAGATTCGCAACTGTTGTATTAAATACTTCAATCCATTTGTAGCTTTGCAGGTTCTTTTGTAAAAAAAAAAAATGTTTTGATTCTTTTTGTATATAAAACCTACCTCTTGAAGTAAGAGTGCTCTCCTCAATAGGTTGAGCTAATACGGTGGAAATAGGATCCTGTAAATAAGTGAGAGAAAAATACTACACATTACATTCAGGCTTCTGTTTTCTCAGCATCTTCTTTGGCATTTATCACCAAATATGTTTCAGGAGTCTAAATAAATGTTGAATCCAGTTTCGCAGATGGAATAAAGTACATACTCTAGAGGTGGCTTTTTTTTTTTTTTTATTTTTAAGATTAAAGAAGGATGTGAATTCCTAAAGTAAGTTATGGAAAGAAGAAAGACTTCAGCCATAGGTCTTTACATCTTCAAGTTCTGCCGGTCAGGTCTTCACTAGAAGGGCATATTTGTACCCTCTACAAGTTTTTGGTGTTGCAGAGGGATGTGTGTGGTGGGGTTTATCTTTCCTTCCATAGTTCACTTTCTATTATTTACTTTTTTTTAACTTGGTATGAAAACTGTTTACAAATATAGCTTATTCTTGTTCATGGTATTATTGGAAAATTACCTTGGGTAGTTAGATTAAAGGTAAAGAAGTACAAATATCGATTGAGTTGGCAGTATTCATAATGTGGGTTTTAATATTCAATATTCCAAAGGAAAAATGAATAAGAATATTCTGTGAGCAGAGTTGTACTCAGTGACTCCACATGGTGGAGTTAGTGTATTTTATGTTTTGAACTGATGTAACAAAATCTTGTGGTTATGTTGAGCTTTTTTAATGTTTTTTTTGTTTAAAAGAATCACTATTAAGCAAACATGTTTTACATTTGCAACAGGGTCTAAGAGAGACAAAACATCCCTATACGTTTGTTTCAAAGGAGGGTTTTAAAGAATTACTTATGGTTGAAGGTGCTGCTGAAAAAGCAATTCCCTTATTGCCTCGTCTAGTTCCAGTGTTAAAGGCTGCATTGGTAGGTCTTACTCTTCATGCAGAGATTTTAATAGGTTTGATTTTTTTTGTCTTCCTTTTTCTTGTGCTGGTGAGGACTACATGGAAAATATTAATGTGATAAATTGAGTGCATGGGCTTTTTGTTCGGGGTTGGGGGGGTGGGAGTATTTTCATTTTTCTCGTGTTAACTCTGCCTTGGTTTTATTAGCTAAATATGTCTTAAACTGTAAATTCAGATGGGCAACTCCTTGTATAGCTGTATGATAGTAGCTATGGGCAAATTCTGTGAAAGTGTTCTATTGAAGATCTAAATATAAGCCAAAATAAATACATGTATTGGTGGTGTTTTTATATATCCACATAAAAACATGCAAAACAAAAATAATTGAGGTGAAGTAAAATGGAGATGCTGGAATAAATTCTAATCTGTTACATTTAAGAATTCAAAACATGCTACAAAAATAAAACAGAATATGCCAATGAGGAAAAGGGAAGCATACAGTTAAAATGTTTGAGGTCATATTCTTAATTTTTTAAATGTTTTTAACTTTTCTACTCCTTCAGAAAATAAAGTGAGGTAAAAGTATTGGCCTCGAAGGTAATTGCTTTTGGATCTTTTTCATATCTTTCAGAGCTTTTTTCTGGTTCAGCTACTTGCTGTCCTTTAATCTAACTGTTTCAGTTCTGGTTTTATAGCGATGGCTGAAAGTTTGAAAATTCTTTGTGATCTCAGATCAGAGGTGTAATAGAAGATCAGATTTGTGTGTTATCAGTATCCTTGGTTTAGTTCAGAAGACAAAATTAGAAAAATTATTCTTGTCTGTTCTTCCAATTACTGTTATTCATCTGATAATTTTCATTGTTGCACTGTTTTGGTATAAAGTCTTGTTAAACCTTCTGCTATACAAGCAGTTCATGACTTCTAGTTAAAAAAAATGTCCAGGGCCCAAATGTCAGAGTGGAAAAATAATTGTTTAAATAAAGGCCAGTATTAGTACGAGAACAAAATTAATGTTATGAATCAATTTCTCTGATAAAGGAAGAATGAGATTACTAAACCATTAGAGAACTCGGGTATAGAAGAACCTTCCCATTGGAGTAATAAAGATGACAAAGCACCCCAAAAGTAGATAAGAACCTGATAATTGCTGGCAGATGACAAAATTAATTGAGCTAGAAAGTCATTGGCTCCTGTGTTTCTTCAACAAAGACAATTATTTTTATGAATTACATAGAAATTACCCTGAATTCATTACATTTGTGACTCAGATGTCTCCCAATTTCAGCATATCCGCATTTGAAGGGTTCTTTTGAATGTGCTGTGAAGCACTGAAATTGTTCATGCAGTAAACTGTTTTGCCTGCTGAATTTTTTTATTTCATCAATAATAAATTATTAGTTTCCTTGTCTCAGAAGAAATGCAAGGGTTGCACTGACATTTTATGGATACTTTTGTTCTCTATTTTAAAAATATGCATCTGTTTTTAAATGTTACCTCTAGATACTAATATTTAGTCATATTGTACTTGTATTTCTAAACTTTTAACATTATAACAGTTAGCAGTTACACAGTAGTTTTAATCTTTGAAGATACTATATGGAATCATAATGTAGAGATTGCAGTTTTGAAGAACTTGTGCATTTTTCTGAATAATACTGCCAGGATTTTCTTTTTTCTCCCTCTGAAGGCTCATTCGGATGATGAAGTATTTGGAAGGGGATTGGATGGTTTAGTTCAACTGAGTGCTGTTGTTGGCCCATCTCTTAACGATCACCTTAAGCATCTACTTACAAATGTAAGTTTTTAATGCTATAGTAAAAAATCATCTGTATTTTTATGGTACTCTTGTTGAGATGTTTACTATAATATCTGCACAGATACAGTGGAGGACTCAGATGTTCCATGAAAAGCATTACTTCATTTATTCCTCTGTGTAAGTCCATCATTCTTTAATAATACAGTGACTTACAAAGTTCTAGCGATGTCCAAAAACTGTTAGTGTAAATTGGAGAATAATGGAAGTGTTGTCTCTACTATTTAAAAAAAGATCCAGCTTCAAGCCTGAGGTGAAATAGATGCTATGTTTTGAAGGGAAGTTTATGTTTATTGCAAAATGAGTTTTTCATTTTAAATGTGAATATTTTTAAAAAATCTGTGAAAGTTTCAATAAATTAACATAAGCAAATATTCCCACTTCTTTCAGATGGGAACTCTGCACAAGGAAGTTTTCATTAAATAAACATAGAGTGGGATTATGGAAAGTATTTTTATACTGAGTCCTTCTATAGACATCCTTCCTCTGTCAGATAGGCTTTTCATGGTTTTGTTTAGCATGCTTTCAAAGTGCACTTTCACAGCAAAATGAAAGGACCTTTTAGACATCCAATGCAGAAGAGAGAAATTGCAGTATGTTTTTTAAAGTATTTCCACTATAACAAATTTCTTCCAGTGCACATGAAAAACGTGTTAATTTTTCATGTAGACAGCACTTTAAGAATGACTTTTTTAAGGTTGATACCTCTTTAAAGTTTGTTTGATAAAGAAAAAAAATTAAAATAAGTATTTTTTTGGTTACCAGTTGAGCTTTTGTGTGAATTTTGTTGAGCTCATCAGTTAACATTATATTCCTTTTGCCTTGACTGAGTTCCATACTTTGACATCAGTAACAAGGTATACCATAATATTTCTTTTAGGCTTTAATTTTCCAAAGATAAGGTGAAATAAAGTAATATGTTGTACTATATTGTGCAACAAACCTTTTTGTTTTACTTTTCCAATAGCTTTCAAGGAGATTAATGGACAAGAAATTTCGAGAAAAAATTACTATTGCTTTACAAAAGTTGGAGCAATATGGTGGAAAGGTGAGTTGATCAGATGATTTTTCTATCGTTTGTACATTTGGATGCAACTTTGACACAACAACTTCCATCTTTGGCTTTCAGATTAAGAACCCCATTTTGAAAACTGCTTATTTTTACATGTCACAACTATTCATATTGCATAAAACACAGGATTTTGCACTGTGGCAATCAGCAGAGTTGTGTTCCGGTCTATTGTAACATAGTTGTTTTATTTTGTTTGATGTATTGAGTGGTAACAGAAATGACATTAAATCTACTTTGGGTAATCCATATTCTGCCAGTTAGTCACCCATGTTGTCTCCCATTTTTTTATCTATCTCCCACTTGTCATTTGTATTCTTCATTGTTTTAATCTCTGAGCAGGAAATACAGGAGAATGGCTCAGTAAAATATTCCAAGGGTTCCATACCTACATAAGAAGCTGCATGGCTGGACTTTTACAGCACAGCACACCAAGCCCCATTCAGGAGAACGCTTTTTGGGAGGAAGTGTGCATCCATGTGGATCCCTACCCATGATACTTGCTTGTGACATTTTATTGTCCTTGGTGGGAATCTTAGTAGTTAAATGACATACTTGCTGTTCTTTCTTGAAAGTTACCTGTTTCTATAGAAAGTCTAAATTTTTTTTTCCAGGGTTGAACTAGTGTGACAAATGGGTTAGCTGCATGGGGTAAGATCCAGGATGCCTAATATAAGTCCTTACTCCAAGTTGGGCATTGCAGCACTTTGAAAGTAGATGCTTATGCTGAGTAAAGCATGTGAGCTTCTTGTACAGACCATAGGGTAGGCTAGATGCCTATGAAGAGTGATCCAGGAATTCACCAAATGTCAACTAGTAGATAGATTCTGGCCCCTTCTGGAGTATTGATGCCTGACTCTGAGTATTTGTCTTGTTTCAATATGCCTGGGATGCAGGCTTTGCATTCCTTTTTCTGGGCCTAAATACTTTTCTCAACAGGATTTCTTCTTGCCAAAAGATAATTTTTGCTGTTATTGATGATGCTTGCCCATTCCCACCAATAACGTTGTTTAAGTCACTTAACTGAGGAAATCAGCTACTCACATTCCTGCCCACCCTGGTTAACAGTGGTTAGATCTGCAAGTGCTATAAAACAAAAAAAATGCTTTAAGTAATAGATGGCAGAGTATTCTTCTGCTGAACATTCTGTTGCCATTTTCTGTTGTGCTGTATATTGTGCAAGGAAGGAAGGAGAAGAGAAGAAAAAGTGAGAGAGTATTGGCTTGGGTATTCATCTGGAAGAGAAAATATTTACTTTCTTGACCCTATGAACACTTGCATATATTATATTAAATGTCCGTTGGTAAAGAATAGGAATAACCTAAACAGTAGGGACCACAAATAATAGGTCTAACTGTTGTGAGCTTGTGTGCCTTAGTAGGCACCCAAATAATCAGTAGACAAGAATTTTTTTGTGTGTGTGTGAGCTCATATTCATTTAAGGACAGTAGCAGTGTTTGTATTACAGACTTGAAAAATATCACAACAAATAAAGAAGCATGAGAGTTTTTTATTTATATACAGTGAGACAAGAAAAGGAAAATTATGTCTTGTCTTGAGGCTCTGAAAATTTAGGTCTAAATAATGTAACTAATCCAGTGAATCATAGACCTCTAATTCTTCTGTCTGTCCTCTGATTTCTTGTAGTTTTATCAGTTTTGTGAGTAGGTCTTTCTGTGTGACTTTTAAAATAATATAATAAGAAAAAGCAGAGAACGGGAAACAAACTCCTGAATTGTGATTACAAGAAATATTATATAATCCCAACTAATGAATTTATCCAATTTCTATTCTAAATGAGTTATAATGTATATGATTCTATTGGAAGTCCCTTCCAGAACATCATTTCTCTATTTAAAAGTCCTTATTATTTCATATCTATGTTTATGCCTAGTTTTAGATACGAGTTTACATAACTCTTCTCTTGGATGTTTACTCTCCAGCCATTAGTATCACAGTAGTCCATTTTTTCAGTTCATTATTTTCAGCCCTTTTGACAGTAAATTTCTCAGCAAATATTAACTTTAGTTTTCTACTGTTTGATAATAACAAAGGTAACTAAGTAAAAGAAGTTGTGAATTATACAATGCATAGACCCTATATGAATACTCTCATATGTAGTGCTAGTGTTCCTTATTTTGTTTAAATTTGTTTTATTTTCATCAACAGGGAACTGTGGCTATCATCAAATCTAAAATTCCAACCTATTGCTCTATCTCCTCTTAAACAAGAAAACTGTATTGATTTGTACTGTAAGGTGAAGTTTGGAAGAAACTGCCTGTGAACATAGCTGGTACTTATTTGGGGTATGATATATTCTCTTAAAATAATCACAATTCTTCAGTATGATGGAGAGTGGGAAAAGTCCTATCAGTTTGTGAATATGTAATTATGGAAGACTATTTAAAATAATTCTCTCTGTGTTGGCTGCTATTTGCATATGCATTGTGGTTATAATGACATTGACTAACTGGCTATTATTTCAAAAGCAGAGTAAATATTGATTCTTATTTTGTTGTAAATTACAATTTCCTATAATATATCTGCAGTGTTTAATATGTTTTGTGTGTTTGTGTGATGCAAAATAATTTGGCTGTAATTACTTAAGTGGTAACTAACTTGGTGTTACATTACATATGTATACCTGCTTTTGAAAACATGTAATTTATTTTGTGCCACGGGCACAGATGGATGCCATTTGGGTTCATCAGGACTAACTTAGATGTAGAACTATGAGAACTCATCTAGACTTCCTGAGAGTCAGCTTTTAAAGGTATGAAGCTGAATGCACTAAAAAGGTAGGGTATGGTGCAAAACTGAACTTGCTCAGTGCATTCTCAGCACATTGTTTTGAGAAGCTGGAGAGGCTCTGGGAAATACAGTGCAGAGGCATCAGGTTGCTCCATAGAGCCACAGCCTAGGTTTTGCTCCACTAATTAGTTCCAGTTAGGGCCTACTTAGCTAGATGTAGGAGGCAACTCTGGAGTGTTTACACCATGCTCCGTTTGCATCGAATTCTGTAATGCCACAGATATGCTTGGGACGAGGTTGTGATTTCAGCTCCAGACAAGCTAATAAACTTCTGAATGTGAAAACTATGAAAAAAATATGAGTTAAAGACAATAAAAAGGTTGTAGAAGCCAGCTTACCTGGCTGTCAAGCCTTGTAGGGTGGAGCGTTTGTCCATGAATGTATTTGAACTTGGCTTGCAAAATAATTCCTAATAGGTCTTATAATAAATAGTGTTAAGAGTTCATGTTGTTATGGGTATGAGTTACTCTGTGAGGGAGAGCTGACTGAAGTAACAAAACTTGCCACAGAACTTTTCCCCTGAGGAAAATTCAATTCTGGAATTTAAAGTTGCTGGAAGGGTTTTGGTCTTTTTTTGTCACCAGAAGATGCTGTCGCACAGGGTATTAAAAAAGTCTGTCATGTGAAAGCAACTTCAGAATTTTTGGAAAATTACTACTGCTTGGGTAAATGAAATTTACTTCTGGACTGTCCTTAAAACTCTGCTGAGATCAGAACTGTGCTAGGTCAAGATCTATGTAGTTAAGCTTTTTTAAAAAAAATAATTTTCTTGGCAAAAATGTTTAATTTGAAGAAATACAAGTATTTGTTTAACAACTGAAAAAATTGATCATGCTGCTTATTTTTATTCATGTTTGCTTTATTTTTTTTTTTACAAAATGTGCACATTTAGTTTACACAAACACACTACAGCAGACTTCAGGTGTACATGTATTGTACTACTCTTATCCTACACTGGTGATAGCAGAGCAGCCTTCAACATGCCTCTAACATCCCACCTCTACACCAGAATAGATACCTGATTTAGTTTTGCAAAAGAATGCTTGCAGCATTCTTCCTACTTCATTAATACCCTTTCACATTTTCTGCAGCAATGTCACAATGAAGATTGGCCTATCTCTGATAGCATTTCACCTATTTTGAAGTATTGGCATAAACTCTGTGGACAATGTATCTTAAAAATTACACGGTGGGGGGCAATATTATATTTTAGGTACATACTTTTTAAGAAAAATCTTTCTAGGTTCAGAATTAAGGTAGCTCCAATCTTAATGAAGAAATGATCCTGAAAAATGTAATGCATTTATCACGTATAGATGATATTATATAGCTGAAGTTTCCAATTTTGCCTTGATTTTGCCCCATAATTAAAGATATTACCAAAGCTGAAACAGAGATTAGCCTGTCTAGCAGTCATTATCAGTTGTTGCTACATAGTGATACTCATTTTGAGCACTGAAGTTGGATGGAAAATTCAAAAGAAGTTCATGCCTTTTTCTTCATTAAAGGTAGAAAGACACATACTCAAGAAAATATTGTTAGGATCCAGTTAAGGTTTCTTCATGAAAAATTAAATGTCATAAGATCTTTAAGCAAAGATCTTTGACGACATGTCCAAGAAGAATTAGAAATACAGTATGTAGGACTCCTGATATTCATGTCATGATAAATTAAATGCAGTTTTACTAGGTAAGTGTGATTGGTAGAAGCTTACTCATATTTGTTAGGGAGTAAATCTATTTCTAAGCAATCTTTTTTTTTTTTTTGTTCTATAACAGTTCTTTCTCTCAAGTTATCTATTTTTTTAGGTTTGGGGGTTTTTTTGAAGAGAAAAGCAAGTCAAAGGTGGAAGGCAATTACAGCAAGATGTGCATTGCACATTGATTATAGCACTTTAACTCGAAATATTATTAAAAAAAAATGAGGACTGCACCATACAAATGTGAAAAGAAAATACATGGTAATGCCTCTGTATAAATTAGAAGTTAATATTTAAGAAATACACTCAAACACGTGGAGCTTAATCCAGTACAAATGAGTAGCAAAACTAAAAGTATTTATTTAATCTCCTTGTGATAGTATCTATTTTATCTAGGGGTTGGAATGATAATAAAGCTGCATAATGTCAGGTCTTACTTTGTTTCAGTTTGGAGTAAAAACCTGGCTTTTCAGCGCAATCTTGTTAGCTAGGTAGCCACTGCTGAAGTGCTAAATTGTATAATTTAGAAAGTCTTTTTTTGACGGGAAAAGTTTATAATAAAAAAATTATTTGCATAATACATGTCTCAGTGTAAAGCTGAGTAATTTTATTTATGATAAAGTGGGAAATCCATCTTTTAGATAATGTTGCAGAATAGCTTGTATTTGTCCGTTAGTTGTAGACCTAATGTCTTCATTAAATCACATTTTCAAAGAGCTGCATGGATCGCATTATATTCTCATCCTGTAAAAAAGACAACAAAAAAACCAAAAATCATACACCATTACAAATACAGCTGGCCAATATCTGTAGTGAAATTAGGTAGAACTAACTGTATTTTAGTTAATGACAACATTATTTTTCAGCTTGTTTCCAGAAATTGTTAGCAGAAAAAGGCTGTTAATGGAGCTACATTTAAATATGTTTTTGTGTATATTAATTAAACCAATGCTTAACATGCTATTGTATTCTGTCAAGAATACAATAGCATGTTAAGAAAATTAAGTCTGCGATATTTCAGAGGTTATAAGATTATATCCAGTATAACAAAATACATATAGACAATAAATACTCAAGGAATAGTTGTCATGTCTGAAGTGTCAATCCATACAGGGAATTGCTAGTCCTGTGTATGGTACATAGGATGCTTTTTGCAATTCTAGAGCATCCTATTGCATAGCTAGGGATGACTAAAATAAAATTGATGTAAGTGCGCATTTGTGCATGAACCAAAGAGTTGGTTAGTTCCACAAATATCTCCACAACACTGACTCCTCACCTCAGATTTTCTGTGTGTTCACACTGAAAGATGTTGACTGCTTTCCAATGCTACTTCTGCTTTCTGATTGCTTTGCATTAGGCAGCTAACAGAACCTTCGACTTCCAAGCTCTGCATAATGCTTACTGATGCACCACTCTGTACTCCAGTTTTCATCAATAAATAACTCTCAGCACAGCAGTCAGGAAAAAACTTTTTTTTTTTTTTTTTTGTAAGATTAACTTTCAGTGTTTAGAAGAAAGTTTACTTGTAGCCCATATTTGGTGGCTACAATACATTCTCAATTAACAGCTGGTTGTACAATAAAATATATATGTAATAGAAGAGTATATTACATGCTCATTTAGCACTTGCTGGTCTCCACTGTAATGATCCTCTCTTTTAATCTGAATGCACACCATTTAGTACTTTCTTGGCAGATAACCTAGCCACCTTTAATTCTAACGAATAAAAAGACTGAATTTGATAGAATATTTTAGGAAGTTTCACGAAAAAAGGTGCATAAAAAACCCCACTTCTTAGAAAGATTATTTCCACTACTGATAGGTATGTAGGCCTTCTCTACGTTAATGTTCCAATAACACATGATCAGCATAAATTTCCAGTTAAATTATTCACTGTTCAGTCTAGTGGGTGATTTGCTTTGTAGAAAGTGACAAGTCTGAGTAATTTTCTTAATTCATGTTGTGAAACATGCACAGCAGGGTTTTCATCTTTGATTCCATATGTCATCTCAAGTGATGTTTCTGTAAGAAGTGATCTGTGCACTATTTTGTGCTGATTAACTTATGAAAGCAATGATACGTAATTTTAAAAAAAAGTTATTAAAAAGGTTAATATTTAAGAAGTTTGTACAGGAAATTTATTACATTAAATTACTGGAAATTAAACTAATTTTTTTCCACTGTGTTGTTTTGAAACATCAGTATACCATTGAAGATCACTGACTAATGTAAGGTTAAAGTTTGGTTTAACTGGAATCATTTGTCATTTAATTATTTACAAATGTTTTTGTATATACATTGGCAACTAAACTTAGCAGTTATGCAAAGCAAACATTCTTAATTTAGAAAGAGTGTTTGTTTTGACACTTCCTACCAATTATCTAATATAGGTATCATCACTAATGGAACGCGTAATTTTTTAATCAGCTGCATATTTCTCAAGTTTTCTGTTCCTATACAGAAGACTTGCAAATGCCCTTCCTTCAATCAGTCAAATAGGAAGAGTCTTCACAAGAAAATACAGTTTTGTCATAATATTTGTAATATGGTGACTGTTAGTAGCTTTTTTTCCATCTTAAAAAAAAAAGCAGATGCTTGCATTAGAATTCTTTGGCAAGTGTTACCTTTCTCATTTGCCTCTTTTTCCAGTACATTTTTCTGGCCAGTTTTTCATAATAGATTTGTTTAATGATTCCTAACTCAAGATATTAGGAGGTGTTAGTGCATACGAAGCCTAATCCACATGAAGCAAACATTGACAAATACGCTTTGCCAGATCTGACCTAACTTCAAGCCTTTAAGTTTTTTTAACTTCAAGACTTTGAGTTTTTTTCCTACTGAAGTTTGAGACAGCTACCTAGTTTTCAGACTAGCCCAGACCCATCAGCATGGTGTGCAGGCTTACTCCTGCAGAAAATAATCTATCCCAGAAGCCTTTTTATCATTATCAGAAGGAGCTTTAAGTCATTCACCCTGACATTCACCTATGCACCGCGCATGCCTTAGTCCTTTGCCTCTGTTCTTCATGGTGCTGCTGTAGGTGTGAAGCAATGCCTGAGTCAGACTATTTTCCACCAGCACCAAGCAGTGAAAGGAAGCAGGTGAGAAACCAGGTAGCACCTAGCCCTTGAGTTAGCCACACTACTGTTTCCCAACACCTGTCTCTGCTATTTGATAACTTACACAAAGCAAGACAGACAGCAGACGCTTTCTGGGACTCGGTTGAGCATACCTAGGGTGGGATAGTCCACTTCTCCTGTGAGCACAGGGAGACTCCTGGAGTCTAGATGGAAGACTGGCATTCAAGTACCTGGGTGTGTGGGGTAGGGAGGGCAGGGGAATCAGGTCATACACATTCCCTGTCCAACACGGGGAGGATGAGGGGAAGCACCTTTGCTCACTCAGTCGTAGGCAAAGATAGTGCCTACGACTATACCCAGTGACCAGAGAAGACCACACTCAAAGCCTGAATGCTCTGCACATAATTGCTTAATGCTTAGTGAATGAACAGGCCATTCTTTGCATTGGGACTGTGAATTAAGAATCTTGAACACTCTGTATACATCAGGGTGTACAGTGCTACTGTATTACAACTATCGATAGTTGTACCAAACCAGTACTCAGCACAAGGAGGCGGTTTTATAAAAGGCACACATGTGTAGAATGAGCATTTAAGAACACACCAGAGGTTCTTGATGCTACAAAAAAATCTCAGGGACCTATCCCAGGAGCCTGAAGTGGAGCCTCTGTATTCAAATATGCTCTGCTGTGTTCCTTCTTCCTCTTAAAGCATGACATGCTTTCCTTAGTTATGACAAAGCACTTCTAATTTGTCTTCCGACTCAAAATAGAGGAATGGCAGTTCTCAGAGGCTGGCGACTCTTGCCTGAGAGACCATTCAAAGAAAAGGCTCCTGCAGCCTTTCCTTGGCAAAACAGGCTTCTAGTCTGTCTTAAGATGCAGGCTGGAGGGGAACTCAGTTTTAGAGTTTGGTTGCAGGTTTTTTTGTAGTGCTTGTCTCTTGGCACTGTTTTGACTCTAACCTCACAGCTTGAGCTGGAACTTAGGGGCTGGCAAACATATCCTCTGTATATCTTCAGCATATTTTTAGGTAAACCAGATGCTGGCTGCCATATTCATCAATGGGTGTTTCCATTCCAAGGTTTGAGGTACAGTCATTTGTTATGCAGACTGGCAGGGAAGGTTTTGAGCAGATGGGCTCTAACATCAGCCTTTATGCCAAAGGAGGGTTTGTAGCTGAGGAAGCCATGATAGCTGTGAAAGCCTAGGGAGCAGCAGGTGTGCTGTGCTCCTGTCCTGAATTTCCTGATCCTGGTAAACCAAAGGTAGTAGTAGAACTAACAGTGGTCTAGAGAGAGGGCCAAGGGTGATTAAAAGTGAGGACTGGTTTCCCTAGGAGGAAAAATATAATAAATGAGTTACTTTACAGCTTGGAAGAGAGATACTGAATGAAGGGCGTTAACGATAACCACTGTTTTTCCATAACGCAAGAACATAGGTAAAACAAAAATATTGCATGGTAGATCTAAAACACAGGCAGTTTTATTATAGGAAGGATAACAGGATTATTTAATTTTGCTTTTGGCATTGTTAAATACTCATGAAAGATGAGACGACTCACTCTTGGAGTGATGCGATTCACCGCATGCTGAAGAAAGGAACCTGAACCTTACCTTTTTAGATCAGTCTCATACCCATTAGGATATTAAAAAAAGGTTTTCCTACAGCTGTGTCTTCACAGGAAGCAGCCACTACTGTCCTTTGTGAAAAATGTAATCCTGAAAAGGCTGAAGCCACGTTAACTCCTGAATTGAGTTTCTTGAAGGACTTGGATTGAATCCTAACCCCTAATCTCATTTCTGAAACCAAATCTTGATATAAATATGGATTACAGACTTTGCATCTCAGAGGTCTTAATAGAAGAACAGGTTTTAGTAAGTAGAGACAAAAAATTAGGCGGCGATATACTTCTTGTATCAAAAAACATTGCCACCTTTGAAGTTAAAAGCAAGTGAAGGTGAGGTAAGTGGCAATAGGAGAACATGTGGTGGTTTAGAGACCATCTCTCTCGCCTGTATTCTGAATACTCAGAAAAGATAAATAAGAAATTTTCTAACATAACTGAGAAACTGTGAATCACATCGGAAAAGGAGAGCAGGCAATTCCTTGCTGAAGGTATTAATTTTCTTTGTAAATGAATCACTCAGCCCATCACCATAATGGCTGTTATATCCAGATTACTCTTTCATTTAATTTCCAGAACTCTGCAGACCTCAGCCAGAAAATAAACCTCATCTGTTTCCGATGATCACTCAGCTTCAGCAGAGCAAATGCCTTTCATTTGTACTGAACAGGACTGACAAGCTAGAACCATGGTCAATGCAACAAAGCACTACAGGCAGATAAGACATTGTCCAATACCTGTTGCTAAGGATATACAGAACAGCCACAGTTAGAAGAACCTTTGTCCTTCTTTCATACCCCAAAATCAATGAATTAAAATCAATCAGGGAATCACTTACTAGATAGCTGTGCCCATGAGAGCAATCCCAAAGAATAACTACAAATTGATATAAAAATTTACCAGTTCTAAAGCATCCTTGCTATTTCCTGTTCAGCTTTCCCTGTTCCGAGTTGTTATGAATCTCTCACTCACTAACTGCATTTATCTTGCTGGTCTTGTTCTCTCCCGTCTCTTGTCTACTACTCTCTTCTTGGTATAGGAGATAAGGAGCAATACACACAGGCTATATTGCTGGTCTGTGTCAGCTTCATATTAATCAGAGTTTGCATGGACAAAGCTGAGGTATCAGCAGAACACTACTGTGATTCCATATATTTCTCACTGTAACAAATAATGTTGGTTTTATTTGCTATATCATTTTGCATAATGTAATCAAGCCTATCTTACCTCTTATTGTGCCAAAGACCTGTCATCATTATTTTGTATGATATCATGTTCCTTTTTCTTACATTTTTTTAACTGACAAATTAACAACAGTTCCTTACATTTCTGAAAATACAACTTATCTTTCCTCCCGTCATCTCCTGGTCTGAGAGCAAGCCAGTTTCTGAAGGGTGGAGAAGTAAATACAGGCTGTCGCTCCTGCTGCAGAAGTTTATTCTCATTCCTGGCTCAAGAGGCAATGAGCTGCTTTCAGCCATTAAAGGAAATTAATGGCCACCTGGGTAGTGTAAACACTTGCAATTGATAATCGCAATCAGCTCTCCCTCCCTTGCCTTGAGAAAGCTTGCCTGCTGTTAGCTCCTGCCATCCAACACTTTGCAAGGTCCTTGTGCCTCCCCTTTTTAAGGCCTCCAGCAGGTCATAACTGGCTGTTTGAGAAACACTCCTATAGAGGATGGATTTTCAAGCAAAATTATTATTATATTGCCATATTGTATGGCAATACAATAATATTGCAAACATATTATATATGCCAATTGTAACAGGAATGTGTTCCCCAGCATGGGCAGAAGATAGAAATAAATATTTAGCTGAATGTGAAGAAACTTTTTGCCGTCGAGTACAAACAAAACGCTGTTGAAGAGAGACGGGATGCAGACACAGTTGTCTAATAAGCAATGACGGCTTGTAGTGTCTACTGTACATCTCTGCTACAGATTCAGGTCACAAAGCTATTTACATTTTTAGTGTTTTCGTGTAATGGTGTACATACATACTCTACCTTGGGAAAATACTGTCCCTCATGTTAGGATTACCATCACTGTCACTCCAGAAATCTGTGAAGCTCTAGGATGGCATTAGCTAACAGATTCAATACGTATCACTGGGTACTTACTTTCTGGCAGCTCTCGATGAATTCATCTATGGTAACAACTCCATCTTTGTTTTTGTCCATTTTCTGTTCAGAAAGAATAAGACCGTATGTTTACCCTCCTGAAATCCTGTGTAAAGCACGTCCTTTTTATTATTCATTTCAATTATGTATCAGCCTAGAAACAATCAGGCCAAAATGCTGTAAAGATGTAGTAAGTGATATATTAGAATAAGCTTAAGGAGCTTATTGTTGAAAAAGCAAGGTGTAATGAGTAGATCTGAGAAACTTGGGATGGAACCACGGAAAAGAAAAAGGATTACAAAATTGGTAGGATACATAAAACTGTTACAACAATGGAAGTCTTTCCATACCTGCTAACAGGGCAGTCTTTTTGGCTCCCTTTGTTACCCAACCCACCTGGAAAAATGTTTCCACATGTTGTCTAGGTGCATCCTCCTTGAGAACAGGATAGGTGCATTTCCCCATCATATCGTATATTGCTTTCATGATATCAAGCATTTCCTGAAGAGAAAAGAATATGTCTGTCTAATGTAAGGTGTGTTGTAGACACTGCTTTGACTCAGAACATGTACTTTTTTGGATTTACATTCTAGAATAAAATTTTGAGATCGTGCCTGTTATTTTATGACTGAACAGCTTCAAGAAGGAACTACTATGTTCCTAGAAATTCTAACATGTTAGTTCAGCTTTCATAGATAAACTTCTTAAATAGATGCAGATATATGATTTTGATTTTAAATGATTTAGAATCTTCTGAGGTCTTGTGAATAAAACTAAAGAGGAAAAGGAATCCCTGTAACAGTAGGTGAATGTTCAAAGCACATTGGCTTCTTACAACTGAGTTTTCCCTAGAGAAAATAGAAACACCCATGCACACACCTGCACATATGCAGAGACTCCTCCTTTTATATCAAAAGCTTTGTATTTTGTTAATAAGTGGCTTGTGAAAACTATAATTATAAAAAAAGTCATCTGCCACTATGCTGAGAAATTATTCTATAGATTTCCTTTTTATAATAATCACTGTCTTTCTACAAGTGTAAAATTACAAGTTTGATATATATATTTACATAAAGACTCAGTTTTAAAAACCATGTATTCTTATGAAGGCACGCATTTGATCCCACTGTAATTTAAGCATGTGTTTAAATCCTTGCAGAGTGAAAGATGTAGGAATCTTTTTATATAAACTCTGTTTCAAGCAAAAATTCTTAGAAGTAGATTTATAAATTGGGTAACAATTGTGGCCCACTTACTTAATTCTTTTTTGTCCAAATATCCTATCCTACTTTACTTTATTCTAGTGACTGTAGGTGCCAATACATAGGCATAAGTTGAAGCCAAATGTTGCTGTACTGGGGAATTCTGACCTTTTACAATATCTGTGATGACTTTCTCTTTTCAATTTCAATATGTACCTTTAAAATGAGAAAATTACTTTATTTTTTAGCATTGTCTAGCTTCATAATATGCTATATGTTTATTTGTTAACATGTCTAATTTGAGAATGAAGCCATTCTTCTTTGAAAGCAGGACTTACATATGCAACCTTTAGTTTCAGTGATTAGTGTAAAAAGTAGACCTTACCTCTTTAGTTATATATCCATCCTTATTTATATCATATAAATTGAAAGCCCAGTTCAGTTTCTCCTGTACTGTCCCTCGGAGTAAAATTGAGAGACCCATAACAAAATCCTAAAGAGACAAAAGGTCTTGGTCAGTTTGGAATTGAACAGTTTTTCACAAACACTCAGAAATCCAGAATAGTGCATTCACCAGAAGCACAGAAGTCTGGAGAGATGTTTTTCTTTTGCTTCATAGTAAGCGCTAAGGATTTATGGTTATTTAAATAATTAACAAACTAGGCACTGTATGCTACACACAATTAATAATTAAATTGAGTAATTTTCTATAAAATAAACCATAATTTTCTGTTAGTGGATTTATCCTCTGAAATATCTCACATAAGCAGTTGCTATTGAACTTAATACCAGACAAAAGCAATCTCCATGGTTTAATGGTCCAAAAAAAAAGCTTAAGTGGGAGCTAGATTAATCTAAGCACAGGAGACCAATTTTGGGAGAACTATCTACTAAGGAATATTAAATTCTTGCTAAATCTATACCTTGTTGGAAGTGGAATATGTGGTTCCCAGAACTCTTAGATCAATCTGCTGCAGTCAACATTTGAAACTTCATGTATGCCATAGTACCTCTCAATATCAAACCTTTTATTTGCGATACGATAGGGAATAATATCTATTATGTGTACATGTACCACCTTAAAGGTTTTGTGACCCACCAGTGCTCTATTGCTCTAAAGCTATTCCACAGAAATAAATCAGAAGACTTTGGAAATTATTTATATATAGTATTTGGTTATAGATATTTGTTTCATAATTAATACTCTTTTGACAGCACAAACCTAATTTACATTTAGTAAGCATCTTCCACATTGGAGAAAATATCATCTGGGATGTGTCATCACCTGTCTTCTGTATTCCTTAGCATGCTAACTTCTTTTTTAAACAATGGCTTTTTTTTCCCTGTCTCCTCCATCCTTTTCTATTTGATAGGCTTGTAAACCCATAAATCTGTGAAATTTTTGCCATAACAGGTTGAGCAGAATGTGGGAAGAGATTATGTTTAAATGTGCATTTCTATGTCATCGGCAAAGACATACAGGAAGTCTTAGAGTAATGTTAAAGCAGAGATTATAAAAGCTGAAAAAGTTATCAGCACTGTCAAAGTTTATTCATTTCCTTAAAACAGGAACAATGGAAAAGACTGCACTGAGGTTAGACATAAATTACAAAGGTCTGTGTCGGAGTGGGACTGTGATGTGCCACACAGTCAAATAAGTATACCTGATCCAGTCAAATAAATATACCTGATACTTCACTGTATCAGGTAGAGTTGTATAAGTTGTGTAAGTATACGGGTGTACTTGTAAAAGTATAACTGATACACATACCATAGCCTCAGATGGTCTAGTAGGCACAGACAGCTCTTTTGACAGCTTCAGTCTTTTTAACAATTCAAGTGGTATGCTCTGGGTTTTCTTAGTCTGTCATAAATTTCTGTGTTATTGGTATATGTGCCCTTTATGGTAAATGGATACATGAATCTTGAAAGAGTTTTGCTCAACTTGTCTTGTCTACATCTCCATGACTAACTGAGGGTCACAGGGTTAAATCTCCAAACAGCTTTTTAACAGTGTACTATTAAGTATTAAGATGTTCAAGAAATTCAGAACAGATCTGATCACATTACAGCATTAGCAATTAACCTTTTTAATTCAGTACCATTTCTTCACATCTTTTCTGCACTGTTTTACATTCTTGATATAGCTTTTCCTGAAGTCCTTTGCAAAGGTCTCCAATAACTTTATTGTCTTAGGATATTGTATTTCAGAACTCTGAATTTATTTTTAATTTGGCACCAGCAACATTTTTCCATTTATTCTATCTAAACCATATCTATTTTTCTTTGCCTGATTATTTCTCTTTCTTCCTTTCTTTGATGCACTACCCATATGTTAGCTGGCTTCCTGGCATCATTTATACCCCCATTTGCAAGGCCGCCCTTCTATCATTGGTGTTAAAAACCGTGCATCAAAAAAACCTGACTTTATACTGTGTTGCGTGGGACTGAATGTCCTTATAAAAGCTGAGACAACTCAAAACCTTCTAGATGTGCGCTCTAAACTTGGCAAGAATGGGTCACCTCCTTCCATATTGCATCAACACGTTTGGAAATCATACATGGGTGCATCGCCTTTGTCCGAGTGTTGTGCAGGAGCCCATCTCGGGAACGATAGAAAGGATTTATCACAGGAGAAAGTTGTGATGACTTGAATAAGGACCAGTTAGGATGGAATATCTTTCCTACATACTTACTTTTATGCAATTTAAGAATATAGCAATAAAATCATATAGAAATGGAAGATCTGATTCAATGGACATAGGCTAAATCCACAATATGTTTTGGGCTAGATCCTCAAAGAGAAAAAGCCTCTGCACGGTGGAAGGCAAAGTGTGTGCCAGGAGTATTATAGCTGTGTGAGTGGTAAGCTAGTAACCCCAGGCAGAATGCCATGGCAAAGCGACAGTACTTAGGGTAGCAGCTAACCTCAGAGAGCGTCTGCCCATGTCCTTGCTACCAACAGCTCAGTGACGCTTGAATCAGGCACACCATTTAGCACGGCGCGTGAACCCAAACCCTTATTACAGTGTTAGCGTACCCGGGTGTGTTTTCCTTCCTGGTATAGACATCTGATTTCTGGAGAGGGGAAGGTTCTACTTTTAGAGCCTATTTATTTTTGGAGCAAGATTCACAGTACTGCTCGGACACTTACATTCCCCTAAGGGTGCCAACACTGTCCACTGAGAGGGACAGTCCTGCTCAGCTGTGAACCTAAGGAGAGGTGCATCTGATCTAGGGTCACAAAGGAGCCAAAAACTCTAAAGGAGGTCTGGACTGAGACACAGCTCTAGGTCAGGTCTCTCTTCAGTCTGTGTTAGAAGTACAGAAGTCTGTGCTTTGGTACTTGCCTTTACTCCTTTCCA